AAAATTTGTAATTATAATATAAAATAAACATAATTATAATTAATACTTATTTTGAAATAAGAAATTATATATATTTACATTTAGTCATTTAGCAGATGCTTTTATCCAAAGCGACTTACAAATGAGGACAATATATATATATATATATATACACACTCACACACAAAAACAAAATGCTTAATTCTTAAATATAACGAAAATATGTAAAATAACAAAAAATGAAATAATGAAAAATATAAATGAATAAAATTACATATTTCATATATTTCAAAATAAATTCAAATTGTGTACTTTGTTTTTAGTGACATTTTCAGATCAAAGAAGATTGTTCCCAACTTTGCCAAGATGCTAGAGAACATCTTCCTCCCACTGTTTCAGGCCACCATTAATCCTCAAAAACACAAAGAAATGTATGTCTTCCTGAAACATGTAAGTGCTTCATCACAGCTGGCAAGACCAGTCAGAGCAGATTCATGCCACATTAGAACATTTAGTAAACAACAGGCCAATTAACAGCTTTAACACAAAACAGTCATTTTACTAGGGGAACAAGCTTTCATGCCAAGTCTCTTCTGAACAATTAAACGATTCTCAGATGACTTATGACTTCATGTACAATTGTCACTCACAATAAAATCAGAAAAACAAACAACAGAAAACATGGATTACGCCCAAATCAGTAATGTACTCAATGTGTGGTTGATGTCACACGTTGATGTCTCCAGTGTTGGGGGTAACGCATTACAAGTAACGCGAGTTACGTAATCAGATTACTTTTTTCAACTAGTAAAGTAACGCATTACTTTTTAATTTACAAGAGACTATCTGAGTTACTTTTTTTTTAACCAATTTATTGATTGACAGCTCTCCTTGTCCCCATGTTGAGAGAAATCAGAAGATGTTACTTTAGTTCTATTTCCCCAACACTGGATGTCTCTATATTTGAACAACCCGGTCAGTCTTTATATAAACCACGGGCCTTAAGGAAAAGAAGGGCAAATCGCGGCCGTGGATAGATTTCAGCAAAGCTTTGGATGTTTTTCTACAGGTGACAGGGTTTGACAGTGTGGATGATGAGTCCAAACACAGCGATCACATTTTCACCTATAAGAGTCCAAAACCTGAGGAGTGGACAATGGAGGAAAACCCACCGTACACTTACTACCTCTTCCACATGTATGCCAACATCATGGTCCTCAACAATCTTCGAAAGTAAGTCTCTATAAAGATCAAGCTGATTTTCAGCATTCAAATCCATTGTCATCACATAACAAATTAATAAGCAAGCTATTCCCCTCAAATTTAGCCAAAAGCTTTATAAATGAATTTTTATTTTATTTTTAGGGAACGTGGTCTTAATACCTTCCAGTTCCGTCCTCACTGCGGCGAGGCAGGATCCATCACTCATCTGGTGTCAGCCTTCCTCACAGCTGACAACATCTCTCACGGACTCAACCTGAAGAAGGTCGGTCTCAAAGATTGACTGTCTGTGTACACATCAAACCACCAAACAAGTCATGACAAACAGTATTAATGTAGTCTTTTCTTATGATTTTTTCTTGTCCAATTTCTCAATACAGAGTCCTGTCCTGCAGTACCTGTATTATTTGGCCCAGGTGCCCATTGCCATGTCTCCACTCAGCAATAACAGCCTGTTCCTGGAGTATTCCAAGAATCCCCTCAGGGAGTTCCTGCAAAAGGGCCTGTGTGTGTCTCTCTCCACAGATGACCCGTTACAGTTCCACTACACAAAGGTCAGGGAGAGCAGTTACTGGGAATGATGTGCATGGAATCAAACACTTCTGACACTGAATGAGTTCATTATTAATCTATTTTGATTGCAGTCATTTAGAACAGTCAGGTGATGTGATTTATGTTGTTTATGTACCTGCAGGAGGCCTTGATGGAGGAGTATGCCATTGCAGCACAGCTGTGGAAACTGAGCACGTGCGATGTGTGTGAGATCGCCAGAAATAGTGTGCTTCAGAGCGGTTTGTCTCATCAGGTACTCTCTCTGTCCTACCCGATAAAGCAGGGGGTTTTAATCTTTTAAATAACTTGGGATGCCATATAGTTTTAATATCATATCGTGGGTTCAGATTTACAAATAGTTTCAGCTCGTCTTTCGTTTCGAATAAATAAAAAAGGTGACACTGTGGAACATCCAATGGAAGTAAATGGGGTGAATTTTAAGAAATGTGAGGCTTTTAAGTTAATAAAAGCATTTACATTTATTCTTCTATTAAATCTTGTTTCTTACTTGATCTGTAAAACTAAGTCATTTTAGTGACCATTTAGAGTTTATGGTCATGGTAACAAAGTTGTAAAATGTAATATAACTTTACACAGAACATAAAAATCATGTTAACATGCATATTGTCTTGTGGCTATACAGTTGAAGCAGTGAGTATTTTAACATTTGTGACCCTGGACCACAAAACCAGTCATACATGTAGATTTGAGCTGAATAAATAAGCTTTCCATTGATGTATGGTTTGTTAGGATAGGACAATATTTGGCCGAGATACAACTATTTGAAAATCTGGAATCTGAGGGTGCAAAAAAATCGAAATGCTGAGAAAATTGTATTTAAAGTTGTCCAAATGAAGTTCTTAGCAATGCATATTACTAATCAAAAATCAAGTTTTGATATATTTACGGTAGGAAATTTACAAAATATCTTCATGGAACATGATCTTTACTTAATATCCTAAAGATTTTGGCATGAACGAAAAAAAATCTATAATTTTGACCCATACAATGTTTTTTTGGCTATTGCTAAAAATATACCCAAGTGACTTAAGACTGGTTTTGTGGTCCAGGGTCACATTTATGAATTGGTCCTATTCATATCCATTGTAAGTACCTCACTGAAGCCCAGATTTATTTTTTAATGAAGTCGAAAATTGAGTTTAACTTGTATTGAACCCAGAATATTTCCTAAGGAAAAATCTTCCAGTGCCAATACCATCCATACGCTAAAGCCCTTTCGTACACAAAAAAGCTGAATGGTTTTCTAGCTTAACCTGACATTTAAATTTCCCTTGCAGGAGAAGAAACACTTCCTGGGTGAGGATTATCTACAGGATGGACCAGAGGGAAATGACATCCGTAGGACAAATGTGGCGCAGATCCGTATGGCATATCGACATGAGACCTTGTGCAATGAGCTCAGCTTCCTAGTGGATGCTGTCAAGTCAGAAGCAGTGGCTGAAAAAGCCTCATAAACATGGCAGGGTGACAGATAGGCTAGAACATGAGTCCATATGAGTTGACCAGACATCAGCATAAAACCTTATCTTGCTACAGATGATGCACTAAACAGCCATGGAAATGCATAATTCTGGTAGAAAATCATGAAGCCATGTGTCTTGGTGCCTTATGATGGACATAACCTTTCCCATAGTGCCTTACAGGATGGATATATCCATTATATTTCTCAAACCGGTTTCTTTAAAAATGGGACGTTTTGATCAAATGTTCCTGTGTTTTGCATGGTTTCTGAAAATGATGTTTTGAGGGAGCATACATTTGTTACCTTTTCTAATGAGGAAGTTTTCGGGTTTGTGACTTGAACAATGTGTTCTTTTGTTCAGATAAATGTTTTACGCAATAAAAAGTAGTGGCACAGAGACTGGAAGAAAAATTTGGCTTGGTAAACTAGTTTGTTTGCAACCTGAGATTATGGGGCTGTTATTCTGTCGGGCAACCTATGGGGTGGCGTTTTATCTTTTGTCACAAAATCTTGTGTACTTGAACTTGCACATTTTGTACACCAACAGAGATGGTTAAGCTGTTTTGTTAAGGAATAATGGCTTTTGAAAACATGCCTGAGTGCTGAATATGTTCAGCAATATTTGAATATTGCTTTCAAAGTCAAATAAATAAAGAGGTGTCAAAAAGAGCCTTTCATGATGTGACTGTTAATATTTCAGATAAGTAGAAAAATGATTCTTTATTTGCTCAACACTGCAGCCCAGTGGAAGTAGTGGGAACTGCTACAGCCTTCAAACAAGAACTAGCTAGAACAAAATATTCAATTTACTTTATTATTCGAGATTTACACAAGAACAGGGAACACCGAACATCCCAGTTCAGTCCATATTTAAAAGAACTCTCCTTTGAAAGAACACTCTCACAAAAGAAAACATCAACTAGTGCCATTTTCTCCAATAAAACTACAAACCACTACTAACATTTTTAAAACTAGATTAGTAGATCTTGATAAACTAGATTAAATCTTAATAAACTGCCACACAAATTTAGACTTACATATAAAGTTTGATCTATACATATCTTTATAATACAAGTGAATTCCCTAAGCCCACAGATTCACAGTCTCTCTCATACACACAAAAGTGCAGAATGAAAAGTCTGGGATTTCAAACCAGAAAAAATATGCAAAAGTGACTAACCTCCAGTGATGCCCTATAAAATAAATATTAGATTCTCAAATGTTAATCCATCCTAATTATGTTCCATAATAAATGTTATATGAGAGTCATGCCCTATAATTAACAATTGATCCAACTTACACTTAGATAAGGAGTTCATGTCAAACAGATCACTATAGTTATTCCGTTAAACCTAAGATTATAAATGCAAATCAACTGTACAGTTAATGTTACTGAATCATGTGTGACTGAATTACAGCAACAATACTATTAAACTGTTGCACCTGCTGATACTGTGACGCTTATTCAGGTATTACAAGGCCTTTACGGAACAAATGCAATTACCTCATGTTGTTTGAAATCTGTATGACTGTCTTTCTTCTGATGAACACAAAAGAAGATATTTGGTTCCCATTGACTTCCATTGTATTTTTTGTCTATAAAATGAAAGTCAATGGGAACCAACATCCCTTAAAATAGCTTTATTTGTGTTTCACAGAAGTAAGTAAGTCATACAGGTTTGGTACAACATGAGGGTGAGTAAATCAAATGATGACAGAATTTTAATTATTTGGCTGATCATGTAATCCATTAATAAATCATGATAATGAATCACAGATTCTTACCACTTGTCAATGCACTTCTGACAGAAGCTGTGTGCACAGGGCAGAATAAGGTCTGCTTTCCCATCCATGCAGATACAGCATTCTTCCTCATCAGTCAACTGTTTCACCCTGTTACAGAGCAAATTTTGCTTGGTGAGACAATGAGTCATCTATTATGCATCATTACATCAGGTGCAGATTTGGTAAACAGAACAAATGCAGTCTGTAAAATACCTGCCCATCCACATGCTGGCCTGGCAGGTGTCTTCTGATGACAGCGGTCCAGATGATCCCTCTGCTGCAGCCTCTGAACAAAATACTTCAGCTGCCTGACTGGTGATGTCTTTGTAGAGGTGGATAAACTGGTACAGATTCATAATACGGGAGGCCTCCACCGTTCCATCCTCCTTGTTAATCTACAAGCACACAAAGAGAGCAGTAACAATTGCCATCCCACCCTAGACAAACATCAATCACACATTTCAAATTTGCAGTACAGAGCAAATGACTATATTATTCAGATTGAAAATCATTTAAATATATTCCACCTATAAATTCAGAGGTCTGTACATTAATCTCACCTTGGTGCACACTATTCTCACAGCAACCTTCCATAACGCTGTTGCATCAGATCCCGGCTGTACTTCAAACAAAAGATGTTTCTTTTGGCCAGAGGCTAGTTTAGCAGTTCTGTGTATAAAAAAAATTAAATCATATTACCTATCACATCACATCAGACTGGATAATGAAGTGAGTGACGTGACATGTGGCCAAGTATGGTGACCCATACTCGGAATTAGTGCTAGTGAGCTCATTCTTACTTTTGCACCTACATAAATACAGTAATACATTACATATATGTGTATTTTTATTATTTTATTCTTTAAAAATAAAATTATTAAAAATTCTTATTAAAAAAGTTTAATATTATTGTTTCATTAATATTATTTAATTAACATAAAACCATTGATTTAGGGTTTTAGAGTTTATTAAATTGCGCTGTCATTTTGTCAAGTTGTAAAATTCAGAATAACTTTACACAGAACAGGTTAATAAGAGATTTGTTTCACACCAAAATCATTAATAACAAACATACTGTTTACATCTTGTGGCTATACAATTGAAACTGTAAACATAATTTAACAATTATGAATTGGCCATTGCACCATCCCATTGTAAGTGCTTTGCTGTAACCCAGATTGTTGCTTTCTTTAATGATGTAATAAAGTCCTAATATTTTCTAGAGAAAAATGTTCCAGTAATAATTTTAAACAGCTTTCAATGATAAATTTAACATCCAAACCTTATGAACATTTTTACTAACATAAGCTCACATTTAGATTTCCCTTGCAGGAAAAGAAACACTTTATGGGTAAGCATTATACAAAAGAAAGATGGACAAGAGGGAAATTGCATTATACATTTATAAGAGGTAAGAAGTTTTTTGTAGTTGGTCACCAGGTTTGCACAAATCTCAGTAGGGATTTTGATCCACTCCTCTTTATAGATCCTCTCTAAACCCTTAATGTTTCTTGGCTGTCGTTTGACAACTCGAAGTTTCAGCTCCCTCCACAGATTTTCTATAGGATTGAGGTCTGGAGACTGGCTAGGCCACTCCATGACCTTAAAGGGGTCATATGAAGCTTTTTTAAAGATCGTTATTTTGTGTATTTGGTGTAACAGAATATGTTGACATGCTTTAATGTTCAAAAAACACATTATTTTTCAAATACTGTACATTATTGTAGGTCCTCTATGCCCCGCCTCTCTCAAACGCTTCGTTTTCTACAAAGTCCCTCCTTCCGACAAGCGCAGTCTGCTCTGATTGGCCAGCTGCCCCAGTGCATTGTGATTGGCCGAACACCGCAAGCACTCATCGGAAATGTAACGCCCCTTACCATAATCGCGAGCTTCATCTTTCAAAATAAATGTAAAGACAGAGCCCGAAAGGGGAACAGAGTCGCGTAACAGACACAGTGATGAAGCTGGTATGTGTTTGCAGTACACAAGCTACGGTTAAGACAGCTGACTCCACTTTGATGTGACCCCGTCTCTCTCTCTCTCTCACACTCGCGCACACGCACGCACGCACACACACACACATGATGTGCAAAACGCTGCATTTGAACAGTCAATAGCAAATACTTAAACTAATAACAAAACAGTAGCTGATTCAGAAGCGCCAGATTGTCATAGCAAAGTCAGAATTACCTCCTCTCCAAGGGTTAACGAAACAGTCATCCATAAAATGCATTGCTGTTCTGTTGTAAGTAATCTTAAAGATTCCTAAATGCATTTACTTTCGGAAGGCCAAATAAAGTGCTTTTGCTTTCGCCTAGAAACACACAGCGTCTCCCTGACATGGCTGCTTCAACACTAACTGCGGTTACTGAAACCACACCTTCTTTCTTTGCGTGCACATTTGGGCACATTATGCAAATATTTCCACATAGTGAGGTAGATATGTGGGGGCGTGTTAGAACGAGCCGTTTTAGGGGGGCGTGGCAGAGTCTTAACTGTGATAAAGAATATCTCTTTGGTTTTGAGACTTTAGTCTTTGCAACTTCGGGGATCTTATCTATTCACAAACAGCTTGTAACACTCCAAAGAGAAAGGAAAACTTGAAATCGCATCATATGACCCCTTTAATGTGCTTCTTCTTGAGCCACTCCTTTGATGCCCTGGTGGTATGTTTCGGTTCATTGTCATGCTGGAAGACCCATCCATGCCCCATCTTCAGTGTTCTGGCTGAAGAAGGGAAGGAGGTTCTCATCCAAGATTTTACAGAACATGGCCCCGTCCATTTGCCCCTCAATGCGGTGAAGTCGTCCTGTACCCTTAGCAGAAAAATGTTTCCACCTCTGTGCTTGGGGATGGTGTTCTTGGGGTCATAGTCAGCATTTCTCTCCCTCCAAACACGGCAAGTCGAGTTAATGCCAAAGAGCTAACCTTTCTCATGATCATCCTTACCCCATGAGACAAGATCTTGCACGGTGCTCCAGACCGAGGCCGATTGATGGTTGTTTTGTATTTCTTCCATTTCCGAATAATCGCACCAACAGTTGTCTCCTTCTCACCAAGCTTCTTGCTGATGGTCTTGTAGCCCATTCAAGCCTTGTGCAGATCTACAATCTTGTCTCTGACATCCTTTGACAGCTCATTGGTCTTGCCCATGGTGGTGGGAGAGGTTGGAATCAATGGAAGATACAGATTGTGGACAGGTGTCTTATACACCTAACGAGCTGACATTAGGAGTAACTTCTTAAAGTGGCAGGACTAATCTGTGTTCCACATGGGCACATAACCAAACTGTGGGAGCCAGATTTCTTGCTTGTTGGTAGGGGATCAAATATTATTTCACTCACTGAAATGCAAATCAATTTTTAACCTTTATATAATGTGTTTTTTCTGGTTGATGTTCTGTCTCTATCCGTTAAAATAAACCTACCATAAAAATTACAGACTCTTCATTTCTTTGCAAGTGGGCAAACTTACAAAATCAGCAGGGGATAAAATAAATATTTTCCCCACTGTATACAGGTGGAGCTGGGGAAGTTGAGGGTTTCAGAGGAACTCTGAAAGCATGCAGCGAACTGCTCTAGTGAATGCTAACGAGCCATTTTAATTGTAAAGCAGTAAGCTCAATGGCTGCGTATGCAAAATTAACCAATCAGCCTGTGCCAACTGCCAAGTAGTTTAACACTGTGAATATCATCAGTTTGCATTAACGACCCATCAGTCTACTCCGTCTAGAGTTTCATGACAGAACTTGGCACTACTTTTAATATCATCAATAATATTCTAGTTTTTATGGGACGTCACATTCTTATCAAACTGCAGCTGATTATTGTGTCACTAAAATGACTAATCCCAACACCTCACTTACACATCGTTGAGCTCTGCCACACGGCCCAAGAACTCATCATAGGTGAGGTAGCCACTGTCACGCACTAGCCCCACATGTTTGATCAGTTTCTCAGGGAGTCTGGTCACTGCCTGGCCAGAAAACTGCTGGCCCATCTTGGCTCCAGATGGAGGGCTGCTCCAAAACAACTCTAGACCTCATTCACTGCTGGAGGCTCTAGATAAGAGAGAATGTCGACATGACACATCATACAGTGTGACGTGCTACACTTCATAAAAACTACTTTAAACAGCATTTTCTTTCACATAAGCCATTTTAATTGTAAAGCAGTAAGCTCAATGGCTGCGTATGCAAAATGAACCAATCAGCCTGTGCCAACTGCCAAGTAGTTTAACACTGTGAATATCATCAGTTTGCATTAACGACCCATCAGTCTACTCCGTCTAGAGTTTCATGACAGAACTTGGCACTACTTTTAATATCATCAATAATATTCTAGTTTTTATGGGACGTCACATTCTTATCAAACTGCAGCTGTTTATTGTGTCACTAAAATGACTAATCCCAACACCTCACTTACACATCGTTGAGCTCTGCCACACGACCCAAGAACTCATCATAGGTGAGGTAGCCACTGTCACGCACTAGCCCCACATGTTTGATCAGTTTCTCAGGGAGTCTGGTCACTGCCTGGCCAGAAAACTGCTGGCCCATCTTGGCTCCAGATGGAGGGCTGCTCCAAAACAACTCTAGACCTCATTCACTGCTGGAGGCTCTAGATAAGAGAGAATGTCGACATGACACATCATACAGTGTGACGTGCTACACTTCATAAAAACTACTTTAAACAGCATTTTCTTTCACATGGAATTTTATGACCTCATGTTAATTGATAGCATTCATTTTCATTTGTCACACCAAATCTATATTTAAGTGCAGTTAGGGTGACCATACGTGCCATTTTCCCAGGACGCGTCCTGGCCAGGATTTCTATATTGCCTAAAATATCTAGGTTTTGGCTTTGTTTGCGTGTGCAAACCGATCGCTGTATGACATCAAAATACCATACAGACGGTTCCTTATGCTTTCAAAATGCTCTCGAGGTACTTTGATGTCAAACACTGATCGATCTGAGCCGTGCTGCTTTTAAGTCGAACACACATCCTATGTACGCGTAATTGCATCGCTTTGACCGTAGATCCCACCTTCTCACACACACCATGATTGGTCCATTATGTACAATGCTTGCATGTTATTGGTCAAACTACTTTTCGATCATTACCTTCAGCAAGCATGAAAACAGGAAAAAACAAAGCCAAAACAAATCCTGGCAAGGACGCGTCCTGGGAAAATGGCACATATGGTCACCCTAAGCGCAGTTCAAAAAGCTAAAATGTGCTCAAAAGTGTCAAAAAAAATGGTGGCCTGTCACAGAAACCAAATATTTCTTCATAGGGTCATAGATGGTGGGGTCCAAAACTCTGAGACCACATTGAAAACTTAGGAATCAAAACTGTAAATAGAATTTTGGGATTTTGGTTAAACAAATGGTATTATGTAGAGACTTTTTAATAGATGTAATTTTGTGACACTGATCATGTGAACTTGCTTGCTTAAAATATAGGAATACTGAATCATTCTCAAATCAAAAGGATAACAATCACATTTCAATGAAACCCTTTTTAACTTAATTTAACCTTTCGCTCAAATTGAGAGAGAATACAATTGTAATTGTAGAGAAATGGGAAATTAAACATGGTCCCCACTGTCCATATATTTTACCCTAAAATATTGATAAAAATTAAATTGATGCTCATGTTATTAGTCAGCTAAGTTACCTACAGAGAAACAATGGGAACGTGATGTGCTAAAAAAAAAAAAAAGCATGGCCACAAATGAATCATATTAAACTGCTGATATTAAATGACTCTCCTCTCTACTTATATATTATTAATATTAATTACTCATGCTACATCAGTCATTTTTCATAGATATCGATGAAGGTCTCATGTTGTTAGTGACATAAATCCCGAAACATTTATTCATAATAAATGTGCACCACCAATACTTTCGAAATGAACAGGTGTTTATTAATCTTCTTACCAACCCTATTGTTTACCAAAAATAACAAACTGTCTTTCAAAAGACGTAACAACCAAGTAGACAAGTGAACCATATACATTTGTTTCAGAATGTAAAAAGGTGTTTTAAATACAGACGATGTTGATATAAAACAATTACTGTTGCTACTAGTGTTAGCTTGGCAAGCCAAACAATACATAAAGACCGTAACGGAAACACACCCAACACTTGGTATTAGCTACAAATGAACAAGAAACCAGCGAGATGAAAATAAGTGACTACAAACCTGTTGACATTTGTTTTATCCAGGCAAATATTCGAGATAACAAGTAGGATGATAACAAGAAAACCTTGACGCGGGTTGATGATGTCACGAGCACGCTCAATAATAAAATCTATTGAACCTTGCAGACAACAAGTACAACTAAGGAATTGAAAGAGTACAAATTATTATCATTTAGCCTTATCATACAGCACTATAAGAACAGTTAGTAAGTATATCCGTTATTGATATTTAAAAGTAAAATTATATTAAAAAATTAAATGAGCAGTAAACAAAAAAGTAGGCCTAACATTTGAACTTTTTTTATTTTATTTTATTTTTTACAAAAATGCGGTGTTTTTTAGAGTGAGTCCGGGTCTTGTTCCATTTGAAGGATGATGTTGCATTTGCTATTGTTGTTGTTTTTGCTGGTCTGTTCTGGCATACAATGCCTCTCACTTATTTGTTTCCACATCTCGGTTTCAATAATCTCTTTTGGCCTCATTCTGGTCCAGGATGGAAACCGTTGTCCTCTTTTACTAAAGCAAAGCACACTAGTCAGTGAAGAGTATGCATGTAACAACTGTTTTCTCATGACAGTGGATTAAACACTTACATTTTGAGATACCAAGCTGCACCTGCTGCTGCCAGCAAGAACAGTAGCACGATGGAAATGACGACAAATGTTTTGGGAGCTGCTAAAATATAAAGAAGACAAAAGAGTGTGATAAAATGAATTTGCAAAGTTATTCAATTATTAAGGAGGTGATCTAAGTTTCAAAACCCAACCTCTAATGGATGGTCTGTTAGGTGTAGTGGTCTGGGACAATGCAGGCTGACCTGTTGGAGTTGAACTATGCTGAAGAAGAAAATGAGTGGATGAATGAGAGGAAGACGAGGGGGGTGAGGTTGAGAATTTGCGTGAAGTTCTGGGAGATGAAAGAGACAGAGGTCTTGTTGTGTCCTGGGAACTGTCACTGATGTTAGAAACACTACGTGTTATAAATGTTGTGGAGGAAGTGTTGAAAGTAAAGGAAATGGATGGGGTGGATGTGTAGGGAGGAAGGGATCTTGATGTGTAGGCAGGAGTAGAGGTTGACTGAATGGATGATGGATGGGTTGTTTTAGTGGAATAATGGTTGTTTGATGGTGTTCTTTCTCCTGTTGTAGATTGAGGCCTGCTTGATGTTGTTTCAAATGATCCATTAGGACCTGAGGTGCATTGTGAGAGACATTTAACTGATAATCCTAGTAGATTTATTTACTGATTTTAAGTTTACAATTACATAGGGTGACCATACGTGCCATTTTCCCAGGATGCGTCCTGGCCACACAAACAAAGCCAAAACCTAGATATTTTAGGCAATATAGAAATCCTGGCCAGGACGCGTCCTGGGAAAATGGCACGTATGGTCAACCTACAATTACATGTTTGTGAAAAAAAAAAAGTCCAGACATCAGCATATTGTAGATTAATTTTTTTAAATCACATTTTAAACATAATTATTCCCAATTTCAAGACACTGATTACTATGATGAAAGTATTTTCAGAAACATATTATACATATAATTACCTGCTGGCTTAAAACAGTAAACATCAAACATTTTGCTGATGTCAGCTCTCCAAAAAGAAACGCCTAACTTGTTTTTACCACATTTTTCGCTTTTCTCGATTCGAGGAATAACAGCGATATGCTCCTCAACCCAACCAAACCTGTGTGAAAACAAAATATCTTCTAAGAGTGCAATCGCTTAGAAGAAACAGAACCTGTAGAGTTCAAAAACTTCTAACTTCTAAACATCACACACACACACACACACACACACACACACACACACACACACACACACACACACACATATTTCTATTCTGATAATGACAATACATTCACAAAATTCATTATACATTTGGGTATATAGTGTCTTTGTAGGTCTGTGTCCTGGACATTCGTAAAGAATGCTCATATTATATTTAATTTAAATGAGTTTGGTATTGTACTTTGAAATTATGTATATAAGGCATCCAGGTTTTTAAATGTTATTTAAAAGCAAGAATCATTTCCTAAAAGAGCAGATCAATACCATATATCTACAATCATATTTTAAATTTGACTATTAATTGTCTCTCATTAAATAGTGATTTACCTGCATGTCTGAAAGCCATTTTTGTTTGCTGTTTCCACTTCAGCCCTTTTAGCAATTCTCATTTTAATAACCTCACATGCTTCTTTGGCTGTGGTGGCATTAAAACTGTACACATTGTTCTTGGTTTGGACTAACAATACTCCAGAAATTCCATCATTTGTAGGGACTAAAAGCAACCAACAAAAGATGGTTTTAATAAAGTGCATAAGTATAGATTCACAAACTATTAACATTTAAATCATCAAAACAAGAAAGAGATAAACCTACCTTGGATTAGACTCACATCTACACAGAGTGTGCTTGTAAATAAGAAGAGCAGTAGACATAATTGTAACCAGACTCTAGCCATGACTGCAAAACATGCCACCAAAATTGTCCAGAAGTTTGAACACAATCATTCTGATGATGCTGCAGAAAGAGACCCATAAAAATAGGAAACAGGAGGTTGAGGATGATCTGTAAGATGACCTTCCCAATGAGGGCATTTAAAGCTATGGGCAGAGGACAACTAAAAAACGTTCACTTCCTCTGGTTATGCACCAGTTATGTCAAATATCTTTGAACTCGCTTGATATATCATGCACATATAGACATTCTGGACAAGTTGGAAAAATATCTGACTTCCATTCCCTATCGGAGTCACATCTGACTCCGTTAAGTATATAAATAAATAAGTCTCTCTCTCTCTCTCTCTCTCTCACTCTAAAATATATTAAATTGTTGTTATAATGACTAGACATTTAATTCAAGTTCAATTCATTGTAAATGTTGACTTAAAACATTGTTGATGTCCTTGATGATTTGTTATCCAACTGAAAAAATATTTCCTCTCAATGTGTCCTTGGACAAGTGAAAATTTTATAAGCCTAATGTATAGCATCTGTGACGTTAGCAGAAGACTGCTGAATTAGGCCTGCTTCCTTCTACAGGTCATTCTTTCCAGTGTTGTCTGTGATTCGGAAGGCTAAATAAACAGAAAGGCTCATTATCACATCACTTTCAAAGCAACCAGCAAAGTTGCATGCTATTGCGATAAGCTCTGGGACCGTGAACAGTAAATTACAGGATGTGTTAGTGTATAGTGATGACTTGTCAGGCATGCAGGCAAACATAGAAAGCATCTCCTCTGAATGAACCCACAGGGGAGGTGAAGAAAATTACAGGAAGTTATTAAAAGCATCCTGTACCATTTTTGCAGATTCAAATGATAATCTAATCTCTAAATTCCTGACTTAGAACATAAATGCATCTTTCCCTGACTTTTCTGAGAGCACAGGAAATAATCCATGACAAAAGGTTTTGACTGGGATTTTCAATATGATTCTTTTGACATTTGAAGAATTTAGTGTACTCTGCTTGTTATATTACTAAACTAGTTGAAGTCACAAAAAGTTTTAAAAAAGTGTTTTTGTTCAGTCAAATACAGTTATGCAGTTAATAGTTATAGCAAAATCACAAACAGAGCTATCTGGGCCAGTGGAACTTGTTCTTATTTGTGCCGCTTCACTCTGCTTGAATAATACATTTACAATAGAGGGGTTTGAGTTTCCTTCCTCTGTAAAGAAAAGGGAATCAATCTTGTATATACTTGTATAGGATCTGGTGTTATTAAGGTAGACTAGTACTCTAGTAGGAATAGAATTCAGAACAATTCTGAATAATAGTTTAAGTATGTTATTTACGTTTTAGTGTGTTATTCACTTGTGAAATTGTGACAATGAGTGATCACAATATAAATAACAATATGGATATGAAATATTGATTTGACTTGAATCTAATATTTTTTATTATCTTAAACTTACTCTTAGAACAAAGTCCATTAGGAACCGTTCACACAGGACGCATTTTGTGTTTAAAAACGTGAAATGCAGGCCAGTCCGTTTTTCAAAATAGGTAGGCTTAACAGTCAAACATGTCCCTCTAGTGCATGTTTACATAGAGAAACAATGGGAAACCAGCACAGAGGAATGCAAAATCACATTCTGTGTGAACGGCTCCTAAAGGGTTCAGTGCATGTTTACATAGAAAAACAAAATAAAAGCAGCACAGTTGAATGCAAAAGCGTGTTATTTTTGAACAGCCCCTTGCAACCCGCTAAGCAACAGATGAAAACTGCAAAGTTATTGCAGCTAGTGCTATTCTCTCTATACACAAAGAATGCAAGTTGCTTAGGGCTGCTGAACCACCAGGGGACCCCCTTGCTCTCAAAGATGATTTAATGATCAGGGTGGTGCGATTAATAGAATTTTGTTTAGTTTTTGATTTTGGCTTCCAACGATTATGAAAATGCAATGCTGCATTCTGTTCTTTTAAAGTGCTGCACTGTTGCCCTTCCTACATATCATCTCCTTTCGGAAAGAGATGTTGTTCACCAGAAGGCTTTCTGTGCCTGTGATTAAAGACGGAGTGAAACATACAGACTACGTTGGGCTTGTGGTTTGCACTTAATGGACAAATACACACAAAAATCAAAAGTCAGTCAGTTACCATGTCTAAAGTGAACATAAACAGTTGGGAAAGTAATCCAGTGCTTGTCAGTATATTAGATCTGTGCATTTGGTCTTAAAGTGACAGCACCCTAATAAATCTGCTGCTGTCTCTGTCATTAATCAAACAACAAAAGAAAATGAGAGAATTTGCTCTCACTGCTCTTCACTGAATAACTTTAGTAACTTTAACAAGAATCAACATGAAAGGGGCCCCCTGACAAAGTTTTGCTTAGGGCCCCCAGAAGTCTAAGACCAGCACTGATTGCAGTAATAATAATACTGAAATCCTCTTGAGGTCATTTTTACTACAATCCATACCTGAGATGTAAGATGGGTTCAACATTTTTGCCTGATGGATAATAAAATGGGAAATTTCCAAGAGACTGATATAGACCGAGTCATATGTAATGATCAGAATATCACAGACACTTTTGAGGAACCACCCTTAACACTTCTTGCTAGCAGGTTTCTCTTGGTTAACACCAGTCACATTTTCTTCAGAAAATATAAAAATCTAGTAAGTCTTCAGTTCTGGCATCATTACCAATATGGTGTTAACCCTAACCAGCTCATTTCAGGATGTTGAGAGGCTATGGTGCAATTAGTCAAGGATGAGATGAGCTGTGTTTGATCCCTTGTGGTAGCATAGAGTTTCTGCTCCCTGTGAGATGGTATAGCATTTCCTCATAAATTATTGAACTAGGCTGCATGTTGGTGAGTCTCCTTAGTTCCCATTCCATTCATGTCTACAGGGACTTTGGGTCTGCAGGAGGAAAACACATTTCAGCTCAAAATTTAAAGTTTGCATTTGGTTTTAGCCTCCTTTCAGAGCAATGAACTTAAGGGCCAGCTCTCATGGAGAGCTCCAGGCTCTGACTTCACTGAAGACCCCTGCTTCAGACAGCGGTATTTTTAAGTCTCTTTCTCACAGCAGCAACAACATGAGCGGCCGATTCGAAAGCATTGAGGAGATTAAAGGAGTTTCTAAACCCACGCATCCTCCTCGAAGACCTGTACGTGCAGTCCGACCCGTGAGTGCTCTGAGTGCCAGCGGCTCCTTCCTGCAGATCAACCACCTGCAGGGAGAACTAGTGAGGAAGAGGAAGGTAGGTGCTGACATGATGGAGATTATTAGGGCAATGTCCTGTTTGCACATTCAGAACATAGGGTGTATTTTACTAGATCACACACATTAATAGTTAATAAAATTCTGTATTTGTATTTGAGGTCTTTCTCAAATATTCTGACTTGGGCCTCATGTGATTGACATGAACATGTGAAAAATAATTTGTAAATAAGTCATTTTCAGTGCAAGGTAAATAATAATAATAATAAAAAATAAAACTAATACTTTTCCATATATATGTTGTCTTTTAGATTTTTTTATTTTCAGATTAAAGAGAGTTAACCAGAAAAAAAACCCTGAAACTAAAAGTGCAACCATAAAAAAAAAAAAAAAAAGTTTAATTTTTTTTTCAGTTGTTCAGTTTATATACTGTACATATAGCTATATATAAACCTGTGTTGTGTATACAAAAACTATTAAGTATAACAAAAACAAAAATTACTAAAACTTTAAAATTAAAATTGAAAATGGGAAAATATACAAATACAAACTGATTCAAAATATTAGTATGAACTAAAAAATTATAATAGTAACTCAATTATACTAAAACAAAATATCTATCTATCTATCTAGAATTAAAAGTTACAAAATTAAAAACAAACTATAATTATAACTTATAGAAGAATAAATTATAAATATAAATACGCAAGTATAAATAAGTATAAAGTATTAGTATAAATTATAGAATTTTCAACAAGCTGGGAAGGCTGAAACATTCTTCAAAATATATTTTATGTCTTACTGGATGCATACAGTCCCTCATTGCCACCGTATCTGTTGTTCAGGAATGTGAAGACCTAAAGAAGGAGAACAAGTATCTGTCTAATGAAATTCACATGGAAAGGATCATGATGAGGACTGAGAGTGAGCTCACCATGAGAAACCTGCGCAATCTCAACCAGGAACTCCAGGCCCAAATTAAAGAGGTGTGCACACTACACATCTGAAATCATAGTCAATGTAGAAGAGCAGAACTACTGCTGTTGCTAGTCGACATTGAAATACAAGTCAACTAGTCGAAATTGAGTGATTTTAATGTTAGGCTATACTTTTTAGAAATAATACATTATTTCAAAAAGTGGATATCTGGAGTGGATAACAAATTTATTTCATTTCACCTCCCAGACCTTGCATACATGCGTTTTTTTTTGTGTCATTCAGTGCCTCTCAGAAATTTCCACTTGGATAAAGAGCAAGATGTAGGAGCTTATTTACCGATTTAAAGGGGAAACAATGTATGAAAGGGAACTGAGTTTCTTCAGAAAGATTTCGTTGACATTTTTAATGTTATCTTGGTACAATGCCTAATAAAAATGTTCACAGTGGTAACCCTTGAAACCGCTGTGTTTGCGCTTGTCCAAAAGTGCCACCTAATGTCTGAGAGTGAATTTGCATTTTCATTCAGCACGTCTGCTGCTTTTGTTGCCAGTGTTGTCAATTTTAACGATTCGATGGAAAATAAGAACAACTCGAATAACAATGTATCTGGAATAATTTAAGGATGGTTCATGAATAAAGCATTTAAAAGTGGATTGCATATTACACACCATGTTTTTGACTATCTTCTGAGGTTTTCTTACTTTTAGATGAGTCGACCAGTCGGTTACAATATGTCCATTTAAACGACTTTGAAATTAGTTGTAGCAGAGCACATCCGTAATTAAAACCATGTTTGACTCTTCTTTCCTTGGTAATAATTAGTTGAAACAGAAGCTGCATCTCAGCCAGCAGAGGGCGACACTGTGCTCCAGGGCAGCTGAGGATGCTGATAGAGGACGAGCAGAGGCGGACAAGAGCAGGGCACTGGCGGAGGCTCGGGCAATAGACAGCAGGCAAGAAAAAGATCTTGCAGTAGCTGGCAAAACACGGCTCAATGAAGAACTACATCTGCTGAAAAAAGAGGTACAGACACAACATCAAACACATAAATGCAAAATATTCTATATATGGCTCCACTGAATTCATTTGCATACTGTCATCCATAGCACAATGATGTCCAGCTACTTTTAGCACAAGCTGAAAAGAATTACTTCGAGACCAAGCTAAAACTAGACAGGGTGTCAGGAGAAAAGCAGGCTCTCCATGAGGAGAACAGAATGCTGGAGGATGAGAGGAGCACGTTACGACACAAACTGAAGGAGCTGACTGAGGAGAATGTGAAGATAATGGAAAAGTAAGCTTGAAAGCCTTCAGTAATGCCACCTATCTTTGGTAATACAAGCATTGTGAATGGATCATGGCGTGGCAGCATTCAGGCCATTATAATGCAATAAAAGCTAAATAGTTCATGATGCTGTCTGTCACTGTCATCCTCTCTCTCTGTAGGGAGGTGAACTCCAGACGCAGAGCTCTGGTTGCTGAAGAGCAGAGAGAAAGGGCCAATAAAGCCCAGCAGGAAGCTGAGCGGGAAAGACATTTAGCTGAGAGGGAGAGGGAAGATCGCACCAGGGAGTGTCTCAGCTGGAGAGAGAAACACCAGGTTCTGGCAGAAGTCATCAGAGCCCAGGAAGAACAGAAGTCTCTGAGACAGACCAAAGCAGTATGTCCCCAATTCCTTATGTGTCCATCTTGAATAAACACACAGAATTTTGCTCTATTAAAGTTATATTTATAGTAGGCATGGATGCATACAATCGATCAAAAGTGACAGTAAAGACATTTACAAAAACTTTTCTTTTTAACTTTATCAAAGAATTCTGGAGAAAAACGGTATTTCAGTTTCCACTCAAATTTTAAGCAGCACAACTGTTTTCAGCACTGATAACAATGGAATGTTTCTTGAGCATCTAATCAGCATATTAGAATGCTTTCTGATGGATCATGTGACACTGAAAACTAGATGCTTAAAACTCAGCTTTGCCACCACAGGAATAAATTATATTTTAAAATGGACTAAAATACAAAACATGTATTTTACATTGGAATAATATTTCACAATATTAAGAGTTTTTACTGTATTTTAAATGAATGTATTTTACACTTGGTGAGCATAAGAGGTTTTTTTCTTTTTCTTAAAAGACATTTTACCAATCCAAAATTCTGAGCAAAATTCTTACTGTTAATTTTATCGTGTATACATGGAAATAAAAGCTTTTTTAAAATTAAATATTCATGGGCACAACATTAAATAATAATAACAATGAGAATGGCAGAATAAAAACCCTGAAGAACCCTAAAACAATTTTTCAAAATGGAACTATGACCTTGTGAAATGTTAAAAAAAAAAAGTATCTGAATTGATGGCACAATAACACATGCTTGCATCTCACTTCAGTGTCAAGCTAATATTAAGAGCTACTTCCTGTGCATGACTGAAAGCAACCAGAGGGTTAAGATCCTGAAAAATCAAGATGGCACACCAAGGAACTTCACGGTAATGTTTCTTGTCTGTAATTACGTTACAATATATTAACAAAATAAACAAGTGTAAACATTCATTTTGTTACTATATAACAGCATTAAATAACATGCACACAACAGGAAGGAGACCCTGTGTACATATCCACGCCTGACCTCAACACTGAGGAATCAGAGAGGAGTTCAGGGAGGTACGTATTTATCAAAGGCTAACCTTTGATTAGTAAATTTATTGACTTAATTAGTTTAATCTGCTCAGCAGGACAATGTTTAGGGTGGCTGCACCTCGAGTTGGATGGGACATCGGCCCAGCTCACTTCAGCGAGCTGTCACCAATGGCAGACACCCATGAATCGGGATTTTCAAGGAGAAACAGGAAAGTGGAATATTTCTGGATCCCCACTGATGAGGAATAAATGTAAAATGTCTAGTTTTAGATATATTGCCTAAACAACAAAACATTGGCTGTAAACATTTTGCTAAATCTCCTACTAGATTAAATTTGCCTAAATTTAATTTTGTAAATGTTTTAACCTACAAAATATACTTTAAATGTTGTGCTAACCACCAAAACAAATGGTACTGTATCCCGGTGGTAAAAAACTAAATAGATTCTGGTAAAATAGTTCTCTCTTCACTAGAAGAGATTTAGCACAATGAAAGGTAAAATTCTCAAGAGCATTTCTTACAAAAAATGTCAACAAACACTTTAGCTGATCAAGTTTTTCCTTTATTGTGAATTCCGCAATACTGGTGATGAATACAGCACTAAACAGCCTTACAATGTCATGATCTCAAGCCATTTCCTTTCTGACAACTGGATTGCAGTTAACATGTTGGCAAACGCAAATGTACAAGATTAACTTAGTCAAATACAGTTAAAACACCTGTCAATAAAAGGTTTTCTGAGAACCCCTTATTGTCAAGGGCAAAAGCCTTTCACCCTTTTTGTTTTTTTTTCTGGATTTTCCCCATTTTCTTTTACATTTAAGGACCCATTAAAAGGCAGGTTAAAATAATCAATCACTTTGATGTTTAAGATTGGAATAATTTGCAGCAGATCAGTGGGACCTGAAGGGCAACATTACTACTGCCATTAAACAGAGAATACATTTCAGTTACCTTGTCAGAACACACCGCAGACAACATTAATGAAGTAAGGCTGGGGCAGCAGAGGCATTAAGTTGACACTAATAGCTTGATTTCTGCATCTTCAATGGAAAGCTGAGATACGTATTAGGTAGTGTGTTGTGCAAAATCAAACTACGCAGATGTTCTGGATCTTAATTTATGACTAAAACTTTAGACATCAGAAGCCTGCACTAAATAACGCTTATTCAGTAGGAGGTAGAAATGGAAACTTACAGTTTTACGGATGTTTAAATCATGCACGAGGGTTGAAGGATATTGCAACCGACCCAGAATAACACTAATAAAAGCGTCTACAGCGTAACCTACAAAGGCCATTCAACCAGGATCTCACGATTCATTTGAATCAATCCCCAAGACAGACTGTAAACAAATCATTGCTTCTATATAACAGTTTCACTTCCGCTGAGACGCTGAAAGGTTTTCTGCCCTGTGTCATGTGAAACAAAAACAAACATGTAAGAAATATTTGGCTACCACTTTTTCTACTGAAAAAGCATAGTGGTTCTGAAACTAAAGCAGATAACAAGCCTGACATTGGTTATGATGCGAGAAAACATTAGAAACGTTATGATAAGGGTATTACTACTACTCATTTAATTGAGCCTAGCAGCAGTGTACTGTAATTGGCTGAGTGTGAGCTACTGCAAATAGTGCAGGAAACAAAGAAGACAGCAAGTCATGTAGCAGGAAATTAAATGTGTACTAGAAGACTAGTCTGGTTCCTCAGTCAGCTTCCTCCTCAGACTCCTCTTCCTCAGCCGTCTCAAGCCAAGTCAGCCACTGGTTCACCTGAAAAGAAAGATTAAACACCTGTAAATGTACATACTTGTACTCAAAAGGGTAAAAACCTTTCCATTTAAGAACACCGAGAACTACAGTGGTTAAACTTACCTGGAATAAAGCTTTTCCTTTTCCAGGAAATTCTTGGGAAATGTCTTCTTTCCATGCTAGGAAACCTTCCTCCTCAATGATCTCCATGTCATAAAAGTTGACAAAGTAGCGAAGCAACATGCCTAAATTACCAAAAAATAAAACCCAGAGCCTCAATCCTCGAGTAAAAAAAAAAATGTCATGGTTTAATTGATTCAGAAAATTGCAACAGGCACAGCAGGTTACAAAAATTAGTTTCTGTACCTTTTGGGAAAGCGTTGGCATTGCAGTGCACCTGCAGGGAGTACAGGGCGCTGACCTGCAGATCAGTGTGATCATGGAGGAACTTCTGCATGACTGGCTTGAAGAAGAGTAGCAGTTGCTTCTCCTCGTCCAGCTGCTCTTTAGAAGGGGAGGCCAGCTGCTCATCATCTTCGTTCACGCCAAGCTCAGCAAAGATATACTGCAAGAAGCTGTTAAATAGAAAAACAATAATGACGCCAATTATATCAATCTCACATATCTCCATTTAAGAATGCAGTGCACATTCAATGGGCTTTACCTGGTCATAAGTATGTTGATGAAGCCCTTGTCGGTGTGGAGTTTGGGAGAAATGTTGTCTTTGATCCACTTGTAGATGGCCTGAGGGGAGGGGTCTGCCTTGATCTGCTTCAACAGTTCCTTCTCCAGTTTCAGCAAGGGGAAAAGGAAATTTAAACCTTTCCCCTCAAGAACCTCCAGCATGCGGTCCTTATTCTGGTCAATTTCTGAGAAACAAAAATCTCTTAAATATATCTAGTTATATCTATATAACTAGATACTTATCTAGTTAAATACAGCACATGATCAAAATAAGTCCTATTTAATAGCAAAACATCAATATAGAAAAACAAGAGTTGTGTGTAGGAAGACATACCAGGAAGCATCTTCTGCATGTTGACCTTGCTCTGCTGGAAGAGATCTGTGAGCCACTCACGGTCCTTGAGCTTGGAAGCTTGCTGCAGGCATAGCAAGAAAAGAGGAAAGTGGTTGCCGTTCTCCAGTGGATGAGCCAGTTCTGCCACACTGACCAACTCGGCAATGACTGCCCGTGATGCAAACTGCGCTAGGTATGACTTCACCAGAGGAATGTCCACCTCAATCTTAGGGCACTGATCTAAGACATTCAGCAGAGCCTGATGACAAAAATCATAATTATGGAAATTAGATAATGAAAAACTAAATACAAATATTTGGACTGCTTAAGGGGAAAAAAAGCAAGGTGGCTTACCTGCATGAAGTTTTCTCCAGTGATGAAGCCCTCAGTACGCAGTGTATGGATAAGAGTGCTAGCCTGTTCCCGGTCTTCATCAGTCCTCTCCAGAGAACACAAGATGATCTTACTCAGCATCTCTGGCAAAAAGTGTTTGGGAGCTTTCATCTCTTTCACACCACTGACAGCTTCCTCCATGTTCTTACTGTTCAGATATTCAGTCACAATGCTCTCCTGTTGTAAACAAATTCAGTAAACCATTTGAAACTTGGAGCTTTGAACACAAAAGGGTAGTGCAACAAACAAAGACACGCACAGTCATTTTCAGCAGTTCCTCCTTAGCAGGTGCTGGTTTCTTAGTAGTCTTCTGAGGTTTCTCCTGGATCAGAGGTGGGTTGGTTTTCAGACCAAGTTGTGGAGGCTAAAAAGAGCACATGAACTTTGATTTTTTTCAATGCAAAGTCATTCCATGGAATCTAAATGAATTGACATGCGATATTAACCCCAACTAAAGAGTTCAACAAAGCGGAGATAATTTTCTACCTGTCCAAGTGGTGGAGTCTGTGTCCGTGGAGGCTGAGCACTGGGAGGAATCATGGTGGGAATCTGGGGCTGCAGTTTTGGCACTTGGTTTTTATTCATCAGGAATGACTGAGCAGGTCTAAGGCTGATCTGCAAGCATGGATCATGGGAAAAACATACAGAACATTATTACGCTAGTTACAAAGATTAAAATGCTTGATACTATTTTGACAATTCACACCCTCATATCTCATAATCGCAGTCAGCGGACTGGCTGGCAGTTTAAGATTGAGGGACAGAAGAAAAGCATAAGGAGGAGAGAAAGAACAGGAAGAAACAAAGAACAGACAAAGTATGAAAACTGCCATCCAGTGGAGTCCCTCAGAATAACGCGTCTTTTTATAATCACAGGGTGGAAGATGTTTTGGTTTTACTTAGTGTCTCTGGTTTACCTCGTCTGCACTGAGCTGCCCCTTCTTGAAGCGTGGAGGCATGTCCTTAGATTGAGCTTGCTGCTGGTTTGAATGGTTCTGGTTTTGGTTGTGAAAATGCTGATTCTGTCCCTAGGGATTTATAGATGTTTGGTAATCTCATAATGGTTTTTGAAAAGAAAAAAAAATATTGCTGTAAGAGCTGCAAAAACATTTATGCTTACCTGGTTAGACTTGATGAAAGGCTTCATACCCAAGTCAAACTGTGACTGTGGTTGGGAAGCCATGTGTCCACTGTGGCCATTGAAAAGAGGATTTGTACGATGACGTCCTAGGGTGGGGGAAAATCTGTCCTGGATCACACCTGGACCAGTCCCTATGCCACTACCTGCAAAAATAAATACGGTTAAGATGAACATGGCACATTTCTCAACAAACAAATACAATTGACAGGTGAAACTCACCTGGCATCTGACCAAACATATCGGCCAATCCCCCAAGAGTTTCTCTATCCAGTTTAATCCTGTTCGGCATGAAGGGGCCTTCTAGGAAGAAGTCCATTCTCATTCCCTGGTTCATGGGTGGAATGAAAACACCCAAATCCTTCAGAGAGGGAAAGATAAAGACTTGCAATAAACACTTTACAATTTTTTTTTTTGTAAAAGTAACAAAATAGAAAAACCCATGCTGACTCACCTTCACTGCATCTTGACGAATCTGGTTAATCGTCTTTGGTCCGTTGTCAATGAAAGCTTTGCGAGGAACCCAATTGTTCTCTCTTAGCTCCACGGTGTCCTGCAGTAGGAAACGAATCCTTGCAGGCAAATCCTTGTTGTTCATTAAGGATTGCATACGGCCAAAGTACTGATCCATTAAAGACTGCGGGAAAAGCAACAATGGATGAGAGATCATGCCCACAAATTACACTTACATAACTTAACGGCTGCATCATCCTCAAAACTGCTCCACAATAATTTTTTTTTTTTAATCTCAGTCTAAGATTCGTTTCATTCACAAAACAAGACTTAAAAGGCACTATGGGTACTTTCCAAAAAGCCACCATGACATTATTCCAGTCAGTCATGTCTGGTTCTTACAAATACAAAGCCAATTTCTAGCAAATGGAACCAATTTTAGACACAAGGAGAAATAAAGTACATCATTCAACGATAGGGTTGGGTATCTATAACCGGTTCCAAATTTTTAATAATAGGGTATTCGATAAGACATGTGCATTTTGATTCCGCTTAACGATTCCCACGTTCGCATTTTAATGTGATTTTAAACTATTTAAGTGCAGGAAGGCAAAGAACTTGCACACTGTTTGCGTGCAGCGCACACATCTGAAGCGCAAGCACAGAGAACAGTGGTCCCAATGCAGGTTCCAGACCCATGTCCATTCTCAACCCATATCCATTCTCGACCTGTTCCATGCATTTCCACAAAGGTTGCTCCGGGCCAGAATTGACTTCTCTTTCACATTTATCGACCAGTATGCACGAAATATGTCAGTATATCATCAAACACGGCCGTTTTTTTGTCTTAAGTGAACGTAAACAGATGAGAAAGAAAACATGTGTAACAGTATTTTTTAGATCTACGTGTGTGTTCAGTGTTAAAGAGACAGCCGTCTAATAAACGTGTTGCCTATCATTAATGTTAAATCAAAGAACAAAAGAAAATCATTAACTGACTGAATATCTTTCGTAAATTTAATTAGGATTAATCAATATTTTATTTATGAATAGAAAACTATAGTGTTTTTAAACTTTTGATTTCAATTTCTGTACCTGACATTTGCTCAGTTTTATTTATGCTATTGCTAATTAATTTGTTAAATGTTTGAAATTTATATTAGTCTAGTTGTTTTTTTTTCTGTGGTATTTTTTTTGATAAAAAACAATTGCTTTATGGTTGAAACTCATCCCTTACAATCTAACAAAACCACAAATCAACTCTCAACACTTATAAATGTGCACAACAATCATATTCCTTGGTGAAAAACATAAATTTGTACTTTAAACTTATGGTTACTGGTAACAAGATCATTAAAAATAAGAAAATGTGAAAGACGAATTGGTGTTTAAATATTTATCAATCAATGGTACCTTGGCTTTTTCATGGTCGAGTCTGGGCCCCACAGTCCTCATTATCTGACAGAGACACTCCAGATCCTCTCCCATGTCCTTGAGCTGGACCCTCTTCTTTTTCTCCAAAAGCTACAGATAGTAGAGAGTGCGAGTCATCAAAATCACTGAGCCACCACTAACCAAAGCACATAACGGAGTGGAACTAATAGACTGAAATGTTGAGTGGGATACACACTGTTTTGATGCACTTATGAAGGATAGATTCATGGATGAGGTCAAGTTTGCCGAGTTCTCCAATGAATTTGATATTGCCAAGCATCTTGATCTTGGCAATGGAACGCTGCTCCTCCTCCTCAGAGGTGAGAGGGTTGTCTTGTTTGTCGTAGACTAAGCGAAGAGACAGAGTTGAATTTTAAAAACCTGCAACACAGCATAATGTCTTGCAATAAAAAACACCTAGGATGTTGGGGGAGGGAGTGACTCACGGTCAACATTTTTGGTGCGGTTTTCAAATTCATCTTGAAGC